CTAAATTTCTTGCAAAAATAAGAGAAAAAACTAGGAGACAAAAGGGTGCAGAGAGAACCAGGAACTACAAAAATATGAAACTATCTTGGACTGGTCCACCCCCTCCTCTTTTATAATCTCTTATTGAGCTACCTCCTAATCTATTTAGGAGATAATCCAGATCTAAATCAGATCTGAACTCTAATTAGAATAATACCTTATCTTCTTATAAGATTAGGTGCTCCATGCCCAGATTCGCCCCATGGCACATGAAAACTTAATTTGTCATGTGATAGCTTAATTAATCATATTAATTATGAGCATTAACCCAATCAACTATAAGACTCACTACTCAAGGGCGTTGCATGGCCAATTTAGGCCTGACTTGTATGGTGTGGCACCCCACAATGACCTCACATAAGTCGACATGGGTTTGGTCCAACCTCTATGAAAAGGCTTGGCCAAATTCATTACTAAATGTAGTGAATCCCTAAGCACATCATCACAGGCTCAATATGGGCCCAACATTTACATTTACATGATACTTAAATTTAGCAATCCTATGAAGATCTAAGGATAATTGACTTAAATAAGATAAAGCCCATCAAGTAATCAACTTACCTGATGATCAAGCACTACCTGACATAATCGAATTGAATTTGGATAATTCAAATATCTAATCGATTGAATTCGGATATCCTATTCTTACCAAATAGATAATCGGATTTGAATTTAGATATGACCTGATTTGATTCGATAAATATCCGATCGACTAATTATTTAATTCTTATATATAATATATAAAATATTTTATAATTTATATATAGTAATTAAGTTATATAAATAATTTATATATTTATATACTTTATATCAATAAAATATTTATTAATTATCTAAAATAATTAATTAATCGAATTTGAATTGAATCGGATATTCAAATACTTAATCGGATTTGAATTTGGATATTAATTTTCAATATCCGTCAAATATCGAATCGAATTCAGATATCGGATTCGAATTTGGATATTGCTTAATCTTATTCGAATTTGATTCCTTTACACCCCCACTGATAGGAAATGACCTCTCCCTAAGCTGCAAGGTGTAGTGTCACACTCTCTACTCAGATGGATCCTGGAAATTAAAATCTTTTGCAAACATTTTTCATAAAACATTAATATATATATATTATAAATATATTTTGAAAACCAAATCTCAAACACAGTTGAAATACATTGCATGTAGTTTAGGTTTCTATCAAAGAGAGTATAATCTGTATCATTTACTTTGTCGAATAATGGGTTTGATCCTATCACTATGATCACCCCACTCAAGTGAATTCTCATATTGCCCCAAAATACCCAAGTTGTGACCCTTGATGGATTTCACTGATTGGCATATCAAAGACAACATAATCTCATACCTATTGTAGTACCATAATCAAGTTTAGGGGTTATGTATAATTTTCCAATTTTGCCCATCAATTTCCAAGGTCTTGGGCATAAGTAGAAAATGATCCGGGTTTAGTATTTTATGCAAACACACACTACATGTGGTTCAGATTTAAGCCTAGCAGTTGAGACAAGTTGCCCCAACTTTTTTGGTGGCACATTAGTATTAGCATTGGCAGGATAAACTCTCCAAATCTATTCAGCAGCTGAGAACATTGTAAACTAATACAAGTCCCATAAGTGTCCGGTGATAGACTACACTCCTCCTATATCTCGAATGCCCAAATAGCTGTGCAGAAAAAAATTAAAATTGTATACAGAAGACAGGTGGGTGCCTAGATGGATAAATAGAGATACCATGAGACAAGATTCAGGTTAGAAGTCCGGTGAGTGGTGAACCTTAATATGGTTGACTCAACTTCCAAATGAAGTAATAATTACACCCACTATCCAACGTAACTCTAGTCTATGCACCAAAATCCGATTCCTTATCGGGTCCTTTTGGTGATTGACATGGGAATATAGGACATACATTAAGTCGCTAAAACACATGCATGGCAGCAGAGGGTTTGCCCAGTGGCCGGCCATTTAGGTAGAGTCACCTTTTACCGTCCGTATATGTTTAACCAAAACTTAGGTAAGGTATATTTAAGTTAAAGAAAAAGCTCAAGTTATGTTTGACTTTGACCCCAAAAAACAAAGAAAGCTATTAAGATTGAAAAGTCGAGCCACACAAGTAACAGATTGCCTATATTCCCGAACGTGTATCGAATATCGATTTCTCTGGTGAAAGTAGTCGATGATGTCTCTCCTGAATCGGGAGATAGTCAGAGATGCACATTCTGTAATGCTCCTCTTGTTTTCTATAACACCTCCGTAGGCTCCGGTTCCGATCAAGTCTATGGGCTTGCACTTTGCAGAGGTGATGTCGCTGCTGATGTTTGTCAGAATTGCGTCAATACTGCAAGTCAAGGGATCATGCGACAGTGCCAAAACAAACAAGAAGCAATTATATGGTACGAGCTTTGTCAACTACGCTACTCCTACCGGAAGTTCTCTTTCATGGAGTATGCAGGAAAGTTTCCCAAGGGGAATGAAAGGGGGCAGAGTGTAACGAACCTAATTGAGTACTTTAATGTCTGGGAAATGTTGATGACACAACTCATTACCCAGACGGTATCTAATAGGCATATGTTCTTAACCAGAGTGGCCAGCGTTTCAAAAACAGAGATGATATATGGTCTAATGCAGTGTACAAGAGACATAAACAGGGATGAATGCGCAAATTGCCTGAGGAACGAAATGGGAGATATTCGGAGAGGTTCCTTTCCTCGTAGGGGGGGGGGGGATGGTTGTCGCCAAGAGTTGTAATTTGAGGTATGAACCACCTCTTCTATAATGGTTCAAGTGCTTCCCCAACTCCCAACAGTAAGTGCTTGCTTCACGTCTTTCCTGTGTTCTCTTTAAATTGTAATCCATTCCAAGCCAAACCTAGAAATATGTTGAAAAAGAAAATCTATATTTATATGTTGAGTCGTCCTACTGTTGAGTGTTGATGCGTTCCCAAAAATCTTTTCAGTCTCCCTCAGTTGCTCCATCTTTAAACCAGATATGTAAAGTATCTATTAAAGCATTTGGAGCTTTGCCCAAATCCAACTATGTTTGCGTGGGTATGCAGGAAGACCGTAATTCATGGAGAGATATTCCCAATGTGTATTTGGATCCCTATGCTTTCACAGTGTGTGCAGAGTTTTTTTTTTTTTTTTTTGCTTGTAGAGAATCTCATCCCTCTTTATTTTGCCTGATTTTGTGACAACCCTTCCCACCAGGTTGTGGTCTGTTTAGGAGAAATCCCCTCCACCCGTGGTTATTGATCAAGTCCAATCACAATAATATAATGACTTATTTGGTTCAGACCAATCCTATCAAATAAGAAAGACAGATTATGCAGGTCAAACTCATTGACAGCCCTAGCTCAAGTGATAAGCCTTGTCCTTTGATTATTTTTGTAAAGCTTGACTACTCAGTTTTTTTCTTCTCTCCACCGTCAATTTGTAGGGTAAAAGCTTCTAGCCTTTCCAGGAGTTGCATAAAATATGCCATGTTCATCCTGTTGGTTTTAGAATTTTTTGGTTTTTTTAATAGAAAATGAAGATTACAATAGGTGTTGGATGTTGGTTATAGAACTTAGATAGCAAATCTTCCCAATATAAAGAGTGATAAACATGTAAGAGGCCTTAAAGGAATAGTTACAAGTTGAGATGGATTTGGATATCCGGTATTGGGTTCTTTGGGTTGATTGAATGTCCAATACGCAAAGCTTACTTCAAGGAGTGAGTTGTGCTACTAGGGCTGGATCGAATTCGGATTGGGGTATCTCCAATTCGATTCGATAAGAAAATTGCATGGATTTCACTTCGATAATAATCTGATGGATATTGCATTTTATATTCGAATTTGATTCGATAAAATTGTCAGATATCCAATTCAAATTCGATTTGAAACCATGATTGATATTTTTGTCAAAAATTGAAACAAAATTTTGGAAAAGAAAAAAAAAAAAAAGAGAAACTGAGATACAAAACTGACAACACACCTGCCCTTTTGAAATTTGAATCAAACCTCATTAATCAATTGTGCTAATGTCTGAGGTTTGAAAATTATTCTGTCCGTATCACATAGCTTGAAATCTAAAACAAAGCACAAACCTTGCAGTATTAGTGAAGAGAGGGGGAGAGAGACGCTGAAATTTGAAACAAATCCATTGAACCTTGCAGAGAGAGAGAGAGAGAAAGAACTCACAAACTTGGGCCTGCCGGTGGTGTCGCCTCTTCTACCCAATCTCTTCTCAGTTCTCGTTAAGCCCCTATAATGCTTTGAAAGAAAAGCGGATGATATAGTATGAGATCCAAAAGAAGAGACTTTGAAAGAAAAGCGGATGAGTGTATTAGGCTTTTGACCTTTTGTTATGGGCTTATAGCCGTCTAGATTTTAGATTAGGGTCTAAATGACATATAGAGGCTTATAAAATTACAATATTTGTAAAGGGTGTAAAGGGATAATAGGGACAGATATGTTTACAAAATAATATATGTAAAATAATGGACCGAATCGGGTTTATATTCAATTTCGGCCTGATAACCTAACATATCAACTTACCTGATTCGATTCGATTCGATTTGTTAGGGCCAGGGGAGATATTCGAATCCAGTTCTTACCAAATCGAATACGAATTGGAATCAGATTTATTTGCAGCCCTATGTGATATTATTAGCTCTTCTCCTATTTATTTTACTTGTATTCAGTACCCACCAAAAAATGCATTCGTTAGATCACCACTCTTTCCAAAATTTTACTCGTTTTAAGTGGCATGGTTTAATAAATCCAAGTTAACACATGCTGCCTTGAACTGTAATGTTGAATTTTGATTTATCGGTAGAACTTCTTTCTAACAATTCTCTTAAATTAAACAATTTGAACTCAAAATAGAATTACAGTCAAATGCATATGATTTATGTCAATTAATTGAGATGCATAAATTTGTTGGAAGCAGGGAGTGGAAGGAAGACATGGATGATTGCAATATTTATCAGTGTACCAATATTTGTACTAGTAGTTCTCGGTTGCTTCTATGCTTATTACATACGGGGGAGGAAGGAAAGGGAAACACCAACAGGTAAGTAGCTAGCTAGAGGTAATATCATGAAACAATAACTTCAAAATTACTAACAATCACATAGTCATCTGTTTTTTTAGATGAACAAAGAATCGAAGATATTCCATTACAACAGAGTGTTGGAGCTCCAACAAGCTTTGATTTCCCAGAAAAAAATATACAAGATGGAAATCAAATGAGCTCTTCAGAACTGCCCCTAATGGATTTTGATGCTATAAAAGTAGCTACAGACAATTTTTCAGATTCGAATAAGCTTGGACAAGGTGGGTTTGGCACTGTGTACAAGGTAATAACACATTTAAAGTGCTGAACACTTATAACAGTACTACTACCCTTGATGATCTCCGCTTCTTTTTATTTTTTATTTTTTCCCTTCAATTAAGAAAGGATTTCATTGTTTCAGGGCAAATTACCAAATGGAAAAGAAGTAGCTGTAAAAAGGCTATCGAGAAAATCATGGCAAGGTGTAGAAGAATTCAAGAATGAGATAATACTAATCGCAAAACTTCAACATAGGAATCTTGTAAAGCTTTTGGGTTGTGGCATCCAGGGAGATGAGAAACTACTGGTTTATGACTTCATG